GAAGGAAGGGGTGCAATGGGAGGCAGAGGGTGGGGCAGGAGCTGGGCTTGGGGGAGAGGTACAGCAACTCTCAGGCCAGGTCTGCAGCTGCCTATTTGTTTGCGTCCCGCCGTGCAGTTTGGGCTTATGGGGGGCTCAACACACAGCCCGTGGGTGGGAGCCAAAACAAAAAAGCAGTCACTAGAACGGTCTTCTTTTGAGAAGGAAGGGGTGCAATGGGAGGCAGAGGGTGGGGCAGGAGCTGGGCTTGGGGGAGAGGTACAGCAACTCTCAGGCCAGGTCTGCAGCTGCCTATTTGTTTGCGTCCCGCCGTGCAGTTTGGGCTTATGGGGGGCTCAACACACAGCCCGTGGGTGGGAGCCAAAACAAAAAAGCAGTCACTAGAACGGTCTTCTTTTGACATGCGTTTTAGTTGTTAAATTCCTGGCCTGTCATTGCTCATTAAAAGTGCTGTCAGACGGGTGGAAATCGGGTAACTATTGCAGTGTGTTAATATCAGCAGAACTGACTTAAATGGGGCCTGCATTTTGTACAGTCTTGCCTTAATCTTTATATTCATGCCCGTTGGTGTGAAAGAAGCTAGTTGCATATATTTGCATATATATGCAACAACACTTAAGTTGCAGCCCCTCAGCACGTGCTGAGAGTATCATTGTGGCCCCCGGGGCTTCCAAAGTTGAGTAGCCCTGGTCTAGAGACTGGTGCCCGCTCACCCTGCTGCAGGGCAGGGGAGGGAAGGGGAAGAGTCCTGAGCCTCCTGTGTCAGATGAAGACAAGCAGGCGGCCAGATAGAGTCCTGAGCCTCTTGTGTCAGATGAAGACAAGCAGGCGGCCAGATTGAGCTCACAGGCCATCCCATCCCTGTCTCACCCAACACACCCCACTCTTTTTCCTACTACATTTTAGTGTGGTTGAGCAGTGTGCATCTAAGGTTCAGCAATGGACCTGGGCTAGGGCACAGGACTGCTGCATAGAGCAAAACGTGCCTGAGTTCCCCGACCCTGAGCCACCTCCAGCACCCTCAATGCCTCCCTGACTGTCTGCCTCAAAGCAGTTTGTCCTCAATTACATACTTGACTCAACAGGGTCCCGCCAGAGTACCCCCTTGCTACAATCCTGTTTTGTGAGGCTAACACAAAGGAAAAGCTAGTGTCACCCACCATGTATCCTTCACAAGCTTTTGGAGTTTCTCTCAGATTAGAGGCTCTGTCCATTAGATTTATTTACACCACTGAAGATTTACCCTGTGTTGCTTGGATCAAGTCTTTTTTTTTTTTTGAAAATAAGATGTCCAAGCTTCATTTGAATCATTGCTCCGGGGTGTGGCTGGGGGGGAGGGGTTCAGGATCCAGGCAGCCTCAGGGAGAGGGGGCAACCCCCGCCCTCTCTCACTGCAGGTTTGTCTGCCCCTTGCACTCCCCAGCCAGAGCAAGGAATGTAGCAAACTGCACACTTCCCCCTCGCTCCCTAATGAAGGGGAACCACCAGCAATGTCCCCACACGAATCAGGGAGAGGGGGAGGGAAGGCTTCAGCCCTTCCCAAGAGCATCTCGGAGGCTTAGGGCTGGGGCAGTTTTGGCTTGTGGGGTGAGGGGGGCACCCCCACCCGCCAACCCCTTTCACCTTCCTGGTGATTCTATTTTCTGTATGGTTTTATGAGATGCAATCCCCTTCCAGGCACATTCCACTTTCCAGATACAACCAAACCTTGACCTTGCTTTAAGTTAGAAGAGGCAGATTTCTGATTTTGGTGGTTCTAAATCTTACCATTTAGGAATTCTTGGACAGACACAGACTCTCAAATATATAGTAGAAGATTAAGGATCTGGGTCAAGAGAGGTTAAACTACATTTATAGGCAAAGCCCATCACTTAAAGCCTGAACATGCTCTCAGCGTTGTCACTGGCTACACTGCTCACTCTGCCATCGCTAGCAGCACAGCAGGAGGGGGCTGCTAAGCTATTTGTTCTGTAGTCGATAAATATTGTAAGGTGGAAGATTTTCCTCTTGGTGCTCAGGCTCAGATGATAGCATTTACTCTTTGTAGGATTAAAGAAACAGTGCCTCGGTCCGCCTTGTTTGCTTACAGCTCAATTAAAATGTTATGAATCTTCTCAGGATGGCAAAGAAGAAAACTGCACTTATTCTCTTCCCCTGCAGAAAGTTATTTTTGAATCGGGCTCTTGGAATCTGAGAGCTGTTAGTAATAGGTTAGACGTGCCAGTAACAATAGGAAGCACACAGCCAGAGTTCATACTGAAATAATACAAAAATAGTTGGGTTATGGTGACAAACTTCATGTCATTCACTTTCTTCTTTAAAGCCTTTTAAGATACATATTTTAAAGTTCAAACTCAAACCACTGAGTGCAAGAATGTTAAGTGAGGTAAATTTTTGCCTTCAGTTGTGCATGGGTCACTCCCTTTACAAACATAAGGGTCCAATTTGGCCTAGTAAAAGGAACTTTCTTCACTGTTCCAGTGGAGTGAAGCTATAGGTTTTAGAGTGGTTTAAAGCTAAAATCAGTCCATTGTGTTCATGTCCTGTTGGTGGGTTACAATTTTCAAAGGCCTTGTCTACACTGGTGAGTTTTGTCACCAAAAAACCCTTTTTGGCGACAAACCCCAGAGAATGTTTGAATTGCAACGTGACAAAAGTCGTGAAAAATGCCCAGTTTCGGTGACAAAAAAGTCCCCCTCCGCAAGGCCTTTTGTCTCCCCCTCCCTCTGCTGTGGCCAGTCATGCTGTATGAACTACATACAGTAGGGTGTTTTAATTGAGTTTTTTGAACTCCAGCATGTTTCCCCACAATGCCCGATTAGCCACTCTGGCCAGCACTTTGAACTCTGCTGCTCTGCAGCCATGTGAACAGGTAAAGAGATGCGCTCCTCTCACCTACAAACCCCAGGAACTTTATTTCCTGCTGTTGAATTCATTGTGTAGTGGTCCTCAATGCGTGTTTTCAGGGAAACCAGGGTGGTTGTCACTCAAGATGCTCTCCTGTCTGGAGCACCCCTGAGCTTTTGGAGTTTATCAGTGTGTGGGGTGAAGAACTAGTGCAGTCAATACATGATCCATAGAGACTGGGACATGTATGGTCACATTTCTCAAGCCCTGTGTGCAAAGGGGTACTATCAAGACACTCTATAATGAATGCAAAGCCAAGATGAAGGAACTCCAGCAGGTGTAGCAGAAGGCAAAGGAAGCAAACTGCTGCATGAAATGGGGGGGGGGGGGGGGAAAACTGCTGGATGAAATGGGGGTGGGGAGGGTGGGGGGGGGAGAGAGACACACCAAAACAGAATAGACTTGATTTGGTGAGTTTGTCTCTTGTCTGTTTGGTTTTATGAGAAGCAATTCCATTCCAGGTGCATCCCATTTTCCTGGCACAACTAATCCCTCCTTATGTTGCTTTAAGTTATGATAAGAGGAAGCCGTATGCCAAATTTGGTGGTCCTCGCTCCTACTGTTTAGGAGTACTTGATCAAACAGACAAACTCTCTAAAATATATAGTAGATTTTAGATTGTATGTGACCCAATATGAACATTAGCTGCTTCCCCCAAAATCCTTCCAGCATGAATAGCTAGACTCTCAGTGCAACAAATATGAAGTGTATATGGCATAGTAGCAGTGAGTCCTAAAGCAATATTGAGCCAATGCACAGGCTGAACTGCTAAAACTTACTGGAAGTGAAGCATTAAGTTGGTTTCGTTTTGTGGAATGGATATTTATGGATTTTAAATTCTAACCACTTATACCCAACACATCAGCTGATCATCACAACTTCTTCTTTATGCAGTGAATCTTTGCATTTCACTTGCTACCAGCATTAAATTGTTTTATTCTTGCCTGAAATTTAAAAATATTCTTACAGTGTGCCTTTATTTAAAAACTCAAGAAGTGAAATCAAGAGTAACACTTAAATGAGCTGCTAATTTCTAATTAAAAGTTTACAAAAAGAATGCATGTTGGGAAAACCTGCAAGATGTTACTCAGGAGTTTTGTGGAAATCGCATATCCAGTGATGAGAAACACACAATAGATGCCATGTTACAGGCGGAACATCACTGCAATTGTAAACCACTTTCAGAGAGACAAAGAGCACAACAGAACCATTAAAAAGAGTAAAACAGCGGGATAGTAAACCACTTTCAGAGAGACAAAGAGAACAGAACCATTAAAAAGAGTAAAACAGCGGGATATTCCTTATATCTTTTAATTGAAAAAAACTTACAAAATAAGACTTAACTCCATTACAGTCAGCTTTTCTAGCTTCATCTTTCCTCCAAGGCTATGAGATCACACTCTGTTTTCAGTAAAGGAACACTGCCAAGGTTGAGAAGTCTAAATTTGACAAAGTACTTCTGTCTCTCAATACTGTATCTGTTCAAAATGTCTAATTAGGAGGTGCATTTTTTTAAGATCCCAAAGCAAATGATGCAGTGATTTTTAAATCAACCCAAACCTGTGCCGGCAGTCTTAACACTTCTGAGAAACCCTACAATAACAAACTAACTTATTAAACCACACTTATTAAATCAAAAGGTGGTGAAGGAATGGTGTATGAAACCAGTAAATTAAGATTTCAAGTTTTGTCCATTTTAAATTATCTTGCCCATGTCCCCTTCAACTGGATTATATCGGTTTATAATATAGCTCTGAACAGGGTGTGGTTATTTTTCTGAAAACTAAAACTCAATCATTTTGCAAAAAATGATCTCTCTAGTACTTAAAAAAGCTGTTAAACTAACCAGTAAGCCCCACCACTTTACTCCAGTAAACAGATTCACAAAAGCATTATGAATCTGGTATAAAAAAGGCAGTGAATCTCTGGCAGAGTGCTTTACGCATGTGCTTTGAGTTGCGCCCAGAGTCCTGAAAATCAAATAAGTGCACCCTTATGAAGAGATTCTTGAACCACGCACAATACAGGTCGTCTGTGTATGGGATCCCAACACCACAGAAGACAAATGAATGTCTTTATATTACATCTACATTCCTCCAGTCTTTAGAACAGCTTTCTAGAGAGAATGTGCCATTTCAAATAGTGCAATATGACTCAATATAACTTTGCTTTCATTTCTTTACATTAAACAGACCTTTATACAGACCCACAAAACTATTTTATACTTCCTTATTTACAAAACACAGTTGTACATATATACAGGTTATCAAAATACAGAACCTCCCCCATAACATTTCAAATTTGTCTGTTATTCAACTAATCACTTGTATTTTTTTCCTCAAACTAAATAATCCCATACAGCAAATACTCTAAGTGCATTGGTTTCCGGTGCAGTGTGTTCTTCAATTGCAGAATACACTTTCCCCAACCCAAATTTTGTTCTTTCATTTGAGTTTGGAGCTAGAATACCCTTACTCCTTGGATCAGTACTTGCTATGGTGTTAGGGAAATCCAGTCTGGCAGTAAGTTGGGTAGTTTCAGGAGTCCAGCTCCAATTGTTCTTGGTTTTCACTGAGTCTTAACATAAGTTGTTGCTCATAATAAAGGCTCTTTGCATAGTTTATTTCTTGAGATAACTTTATTGCTAGGACTTCAGACTTCACATGAACCTGCACAAATAAAAGATTGTTATACATACAAAGATATTAGAGTAGTGGGAAAATTTAATACCACTGTGAAGAGAAATAAAAATATCCACTTAAAGTAACTACCTTCAAACTACTAGTTAGATAGCTAATAACTACTATCAAATTAGGTATCTAACTGCAATGACCAAGCAGGTTACGTAACGCTAGGTAGGACTGCCTCTTAAAATCACTGGAGTCAACAGTCACCATGGGCCACTGGGCAAGGTGGAGGCTCTGCATTTTTGTTGGGGGAGGGGCCAAAGGCAGATGGGGTGGAGAGAAGACAGCTCTGGCTGGAGTGTGATTTCCTCCCGTCAGCCCTTAGTGCTGCCAGCGCTCCAGCAGTGATTTCAAGGGCCTGGGGTTGCAGTCACTGCAGCAGGTAGCCAGAGCCTTGGGCCCCTTTGAATTGCTGGGCCCTGGAGCAACTGCCTCCTTTGTACACCCTGCCCCCTTGTCGGCAGACCGGTGTTGAGCAGAAAACTAGGAACTGGCACTCCATTTTGGTTCCCAGGTGTACTAGTTACTCAGCATTTTCCTGTCTCTCAATAGAGATTTCTTTACCTAGCTCCGCACCGTGGTTGAGTGAATTAATATCTGAGATACTCTGACAATCAGCATTTTAAGGATGTACATGGGACCTGGCTCAAAGCGACAGACAGATTTTCACTGGAGAGAGATAGGGATGTAAGCGACGAGTCACTTCTCCCCCTCCCCTTGCTTAAAAGCCGGTTCCCCCCAGTACTGTCTTCGTGAGGGGGAGGGGAAGCAGAGGGATAGTGGGGACTGGGCGCGAGCCAGGAATAATCTGATTCCAGGCTAGCACCCAGTGTTAGATGCTGCACCTCGGCTTTTTAAATGGATTAAGAGCCTGCCAGCTCTTAATACATTTAAAAGGCTGGTGCGCAGCAGGCAGGATCCGGCTCACGCCAGGACAGCTGATTCCCGGCTCACGCCAGGTCTCCTTACTGTGCTTCTACTTTTGAAATGTATTAAGAGCCTGCCTGCTCTTTATACATTTAAAAGGCAAAGCCGCAGCAAGCTTAGCTCCTAGGGCCAGGAGCAGCTCCCCCACTTACTAATGGACTAGTTGATTAAATTAAAATTAACACCCCTAGAGGGAGAGAGATGGGCCAGTCAGTTTACCCAGTCTTGTCTATTTAGAATGTAAGTGTTTTGGGGCAGGGGCAGGCTCTTATGGTGCACTATCATCTGCTCACGTCTCTAGTGCTTCTGAAATACTTGCATCAATAAGTGCATAAACTCCAGTTGTACTAGAGCTGAGCACTGACTCTGCTCGTTTTGATCCATCTACAAAGATTAATTTTACTATACACGTGGAATCAGGAGACTGGAATGAATATTTAGCTACAACACGGTGAGAAAGTGCAGACATAACACTGTAAAAGTAAAGCAACCTAGGTAAGGCTTCGCAGTGAGGTGTTTTTTTTTTTTTTATCATCAGATCCCGCCCCTACTATCATCATCTTGGGTAACGTCCCGCCTCTCATTCGGACTGGATTTCTAGTCTTTAGGAAGTGGAACAATCTCCATGTCTGTCAGCGATACCTTGTTGGATTTCCCTTGATCTTTCTCCTGAGCTTAAAGAACAAAAGTACCTGGATCGCTTCTGTGCCCAGGCTCCCTCACAGCTGGGCGAAACACTGTAATACAGGCAGTCCCCGGGTTACGTACAAGATAGGGACTGTAGGTTTGTTCTTAAGTTGAATTTGTATGTAAGTCGGAACTGGTACATGTTGTAGGGGAAACTCTAGCCAAACATTTCTCCAGAGCTCAGTTTTATTCTCCCACACCTCACTTCCCTCAGTCCTTTATTCTCAAGCTGAGGTGTCTGCTGAGAAAAGCCGCTCCGCATCTCCCTGGTCTGCTGGGGGGGGGGCGCTAGCTTCGCGTCTCCCTGGTCTGCTGGGGGGAAGCAGCAAGTGCGGGGTTGCCTCACCCTGTTTGTAAGTAGGAATCCGATGTAAGTCGGATCCATGTAACCCGGGGACTGCCTGTAGACTAAGGCAGAGATGGGCAGCCACAAAGCGAGTGGGCCGCATGAGTGGTCATCCTTCACCTTAGTGGGCCACAGCAGCCTGCGGCCTGCTGGGGTTCCACCTGTGGCTCCCCTGTCCATCCTCCGCTGCCACGCAGCAATGACGACAAAGCATACAACTATTGCAATATAGCAAACAAAACACACAAATGGAAAAGTCAGTCCTGGATCCTTACCATAGGTTTCTGCTGTGATGGGCCTGGTATTGCTACACCGCTACTTGTATTCACAGCTTTCTTTGTCAGTTGTACATAGACCTTCCCGTGGTCCTTGGAAATGAGGCAGTGGTAGAGATCATCATACTTGACTTCCAAGAAGATGGCTTCTTTGTCTACATAATCCCCATTCTTCAGGAAATAAACAGCTTTGGATGAAATGACAACACAATAGCTGTCTGTGTTCTCCACTGCTATGAAACTGCAAAACCAGACAGATAAGTCAGTGTCGTTAGGCATCCTACGATTTGTAAAACACTGAGCTGGGAGGGAGACTGTTCTATTTTTGTACAGGTTGCAGCTGCAAAGCCCTGTGGCCGGGGGGCTGTGTGCTGTCCCGAGGCTGGCTGCTGGGGCCGAGTGCGCAGTCTGGCGGCTGTAGGGCTCTGCAGCCATCTTGCCTCTTCCCATGAGTACCCCCCTGTCAATGCCAGCTGCTCTGCCGCCACCGGAGCAGCAGCTGGCAGCAGCAGAGGGGCTGGCATTGACCTTTCCTGGTCCAGCAAATTCCCTGGTTCAGGCCCAGATCAGGGTCTGAGGATGTCCTACCAGGGAGGTTCAACCTGTACCTGCTGCTCCCTCTGTGACCTTTGCAAATCCATCAGCAAAATGAACTGCCTCATGTATAGTGCTATGACTTTAGGGTACTTATTAGTTCATCAAAAATAAACTGAAGCGTATTCCAAACCATCACTCTTGCACAATAAGTAAAATATTAAATGCCCATTTTGCAGCCTTATCAGTTACCACCTTTGGATATCAGGGCTACAAATTAGGCAGAATCACAAGATTAACTCTAGATCAAAAAACACTGATATACTATGGTCTCACTCAAAAACCAAAGAAAGACAGAGAGTTAGAAGTGATAAGGAATAGAAGAAGATAGCAGGACAGTGAGGCTGAAGTGCATAACATACAACATCTTACTGCCCGAACTATTGGCAAGGGGTGTGATTTTTTAAATATTTATGTCAGTGGGGGGGGGGAGAAGAAAATGGAGAGATGCAATCACCCCATGGCATTTGTGGCTGGGAGCATTCTGTTAATAACTATGGTTGAGTGAGGGGGACAGTCTGTGTAATTTCCCCAGCAGAGAGGCGGTGGCGTGTTTTTTGTTTGTTTTAGAGCCAATTTTATTTCCGACAAATACTTTAAATGTCACTATCATCTCGCATGATACATTACAAACTACAGTGCTTCGCTTTTCTTCCTTAAAACAGACCACCAGAAAGAAATCCCCCCAACATTTACCTGCTGCCTGACCAGTAGCTAGAGAAGAGAAATTAGCTGTTTAACATCAGGGGTGAAAGGTTAAACAGCAAGCAGGAGGGTTCCCCAGAGAGATTAGTTAGTTTGAGTGATGAATACAGGAGGGAGTATTGGGTGAATTAAGGCGATTTAGAGAATTATAATGTCTGAAAAGATCGATTTAACCACAATAAGAATTCAAGAGTGAAATGTTTTATATTTACCCACCATTTCAAGTCACCAAATAAGCCTGAATACTAATGGGGTATTTTGCAAACTTATATATGGGTTTAATTCCTCTAAGGTGCACTATTAAGTATAAGTGCTAAATGGTATTTTTAGAGCTATCAGTAAACCACTAGTGTATGAACATGCCTGTAGGAAGGAGATTCTACTCCTTTAGATCCATTAGGATGCATTTTGTTGCTATGCAAACTAATTTTTAATTAGCATTCTCATGCCATTAGTTTAAAATCTCCCTACTCCAAATGTTCAGAGCTTGAGAGGCTGATTGCAACTTTTCAGAGGTATGTTGCTATTTGCATGAAACTGACCACTTGATGCTACCTGCCCTAGTGTTTTCTGCAAGGCATCATTTCTGTAGATCCACACAGTGTGCCCACACATGAAAACCACAGGATTAGCCTGCTGCTGTCACGTCTCAAAGGCAAGAAGGTGATATGTCCAAAACAGCTGCAACAGTCCATGGATCTAGCTCACAGGTATGAGACACACAGTACTTTATATCTCTGCCAAAGGATACTTGAATTTCTAATAAATGCCATCAGTAGAGCTGGCTGAATATTTTTGCATCAGAAAATGCCAATTCACTGGAATTAAAACGTTTTGCAGGAGCATGTTAATTTTGATGACCTTGTCATGGGGCCCTGCCTGCCACTCAGTATGGCTCCCCTGGCTCCTTAGCCGCTCATCCGACAGGTTGACACACAGCCAGGAACCAGGGTGGATTATTCCCAGCCTGGCTGGCTCTCCAGCAAGTGCTCTTGGTGGCTAGGGAGTCAAACAGCTGTTGGGGGGGAAGGGATTGTGATTTCCCCCCTACTACAGAAAAAGAAATTCGAAATTTCAGAATCTGTCTTGGAATGGACAATCCAGTTACTAATCAGCTTTAGTTACTGGCTGCAAAACTTTCATCAGCTCTACCACATAAGAAGCATTGTGTGCAATATACCAATCTACATCTGACTGAACCACTGGTTGTAAAAGAGGATTTTAATGCCAAAACAACCAGCAGACTAAGTTAATCAGACTTCTCCTCATCCCTCAATAAAACGACTAGGGCTGCTTTAGGATAACACAAACAATACCACCATAGCTTTCTGATTGAAAGACTCACCCCAATAATCTTCTACAAATCTTTTCTATTAATAGCTTGCTCTAGGGAGGGCTCTTCTGCTTTGTACACTTACCCTTTGTCTCTTCCCCTTATGCCGCTGTCTCCTAGTCATGGCAATTCACAGAGCCTCTTGTCATTGTAAACCCGGATTATATGACTAAGAAGAAGTCTCACCACAACTTTTCTTTTGGACTTTTTTTCTTCCAGTGATTAAAATGCTGTTAATGTTCAAACCCTACATGCATATTTATCTAGTCTACTGTTTAGATTACACATGTACTATTTAGTATATAGCTCAAGACCTTTGTAATTAGTCTGATTAAAATAAAGGTTGTCAAATTAAATCCATCTTGCTTTAGTTCCCCTCACACATAGTCTATGTAATAAGTACACACTGCATTCTTAACACTCTTGGCTTGACAAACTTTTGTAAAAAAACAACTGTCTCCCTTGATCTAGTGTATGTTTCTGTTCCCAGGGCCTGACTGATAAAATTCTTCTCAAATGCTTGTTTAACTTACTATTTCTAGTTAGCACTCCCAATTTCATTTATGTGCTACACTACTATACTGTTAAACAACAGTGGCGCTCTCAGCCTACAACATTTAACCCTTAATATATCATTTCTTAAGAAGGTACCACACCTAATACAGTAAAGTTGTCACATTTTCTGAGAAATGTGAACCGCTGGGAATTTTTATATTAGAGACTTAAAAATGTTGCTAGAGACTGGCAGAACACTAATTTCTCCTTATGACAAACCACTGACACAAAACAGATACCATGTTTTATACCCATTTTAGAGACAGATAAATTGAGGCACAGTGAGGTGTGCTGGCTTTGATCAAATTTAGTCTATGAGCCACATTTTTGAATGATGGTCCACAGAGAATTTAATGGCCAAATTGTTCTGGTTTTCCTTGTTCTCCCCGCTGCTAAACTGCATTTAAAAAAACTAATAGACACCCAAGTTCCAAGCAGTATTTTTCTAAGTAAGTAATTGCCACAGGGAAATTACGGAATTTCAAATGGGAAAGGAGGTGGGCTGCATAATTGCAAAGGCAAGAGGAGATAATCATGAGACAATCCCTGTTAACATGTGGCCCAGCCTGTGAGAAACTATTATAGTCCCATTTCTACTATATATAAAAGCTACATAATTACATAGAATGCTAACGCTATATACTGAGACACAAGGATGTACTACATTTATCAGTTTATCTTGATTAAAATCACCCCATAAAAAAAATCCCACCAGATTTCAAGACTATATAAAGTAAAACAGAGAGAGTAAAAGGAAATTATTTTTCTTGCTGTAGTTTACTGAATATTTAAGCCCGGATCTTCAGATATGCCCAGCATCAGAAGCTCTCTTAAATTCATTCAGTTTCTAAGGGCCCAGCACGTTAGAATATTGTTTAATTAATGTCTATTATGCTTTTTACAAGAGGCTACATTAATCCTTATCAATTTTCCTTCAAAGTGTCAAGGCTGTATTTTGAGGAATAGAGTTCTGAAAACGCAGGGTACTGATTTCCCGGTGAAACACTGACATTGTAACAAATTTGCAGTTAAACCTTGCATTTTGTTCTAAGTTTGAGTCACACATCATTACTCATTTTCTTTTGCCAACAACATACATCCTCTCTTCTGTGCTTAAAGTTTCAACAGAAAAGCTGAAAACTAAGACATTAGTTTTGCTTTTTTCCATAGTCCTACCTTTCTATTATTAAAAAAAAAATAAAATTAATAAAATAAAATGAAAAACTTAATGAAACATGATCCAGTAGAACAAAGTAGAAGCAATCAGATCTCTGGAGAATTTGTGGGGTTTTAACTACATCAGGAAGTAATTACACAATATTTTCCAGAAGTGAAAAAGTGAGTCTAACTGGAAAAAAATGTGGAAACATTTAGTTAGAACAGTAGAGCAAGGTATTATAGCCCCCTTTTATGGATTCAACTTTGAAGGAAAATATGCAAATAATCAGGTCTTTAAATCTGTTTTTAATTACAATACTAGGATACAATACTAGGGGGCTCAATTTTGTACTGGTTTTCCACGACAAGAGATACAGTTTTCTTATTGAGTGATATTCCTGTTGGTGAAAAGTCACAGTGAACGAGCAATACAACAGCTTAAGCTGTATTAGACATTTTGTTAAATTCACTGATATACTTACTAATTTAGATGCATTCATAAAAGTCTTATTTGGAAAAATCAGAACATAAATATTTTAATTCTCAGGACTCAAGTTTTACCCAATTTCTAATTTAGCAGAAGCCAGGTTGGGGCTGGGTTCACAGAATGTGTGTATGTTTCACTGCAGCAGCAGAACTTTCAACCAGAGACACAGTCATCTCTAGTGCACAACCAACAACCCTGGTGTGCACACAGTTCCTGTAGAGTAGCTGCCCCATTTCGTAGACCCCCCACTGAATTGTAGTACCAAGAAAGCAAAAATGGAGAGGACAGAGAAGGTCACGGTACCACCAAATTAGATACACTGAGGCACAAGGCCAAATCTCAAGTGATATAATTTCTCTATAACTCTCCTTTTTGGAATATGTTACTTTTTTTTCCCTATCAAAGCAAAATGAGAGTAATAATACGCAATTAAACAAAACTTCTACATCTTTTAGAAACTTAACAGCTCTGACTACTACTTTTGTAAATGTGTGGAGAGAGACTGACCACGCAATTCAGGAAAGGACTGGGCATCAACAGACATGGGTTCTAATCTTGGCTCTGCCAAAGACTGCGAGTGTGTCCTTTGACTAATCACTTAATATTTTATTGCCTCAATTTACCTTACCAGCGAAACAGAAATCATAACTGATTAAATTATAAGGATATTTGTGAGGCGACACCAAATTATATTTGCAAAATACCTGAAAGGGAGGGGATGAGAGAAGTTACCAAGCCTCAAAATATCCTTCAGTGAATTAAAACCAAGAGAAATAGATTATATGGATTAAAAAAAAAAGATTTTAGTCGCTATCACAAAAGAAACAATCTATTTTCATATAACAATTATATTGTAACACAGCAGTTGCCAGGTTAGTACTTACAATTCATCTTGGATGTTGTCTGTCAGCCTGAATAGCCGTTCTTGTCCTTCTGCCTGGCTTTCTGAATACCGGGGCAAGAGTCCTTGAGGACCTCGACAACAGCGTGGCTTCCTCACTCTCTCAGCTTGTGTCCTATATACAACACACACATTAACTGATTTAATGAGACTTAAGTTTTCTTTGGTAACTTTACTCAGTATAAGTATTTATATTACAAGCAAGGTTTAGCATGAAAAAGCCCATTAAATTATCAGATCTCTACTGATATCTGGACAATAATGTGTTATTTGGAGGTCTCTCTAGTAGACCCAGATCTCTATATACTTCTTTTTGTAATTCTCATTTGAAATCTTGTCTGAAATTGAAAAGAAAGCAGGTGAAATTGTCATGGAAAAACACTGTGAAGCCCAATGGCCTGTGAATTTTTAATAAAAATATGTATTTAATCTATACCACAAAGATTTTTACCATTTTTTTTCAGAAATAGGAATCCATATCTGGTATATCCAGACAGTTATTGTATTTGTTGTGGAACACTGCATGTCGATGGACAAGATGGCAATAGGTTGAAAAGTAAGCAGCACTCACAAGTACAAGGCACACGTTAATGGTCTATCCACCAGTACTTTCTTCAGTACTACTAAGTACCATTACTTTTAAAAAAAAAATCATGAATGCTTTTGAAAGTGTGGACACTACCAACATGTGGAGAACTGTGTGGCAGGACACCTACTTCTGCCTCAGTCTTTGCCTCTTCCCAGTACCACCACTTTGAGACTGCTGTCTACTGTTCAGATCTCTCTTTCAAGCTAGAAATATTAATTTTTCAAGGGGCTGCTTTTAGCCAAAAGCAGTACTTTTGGTTATTGGACACTACTTCTCCTTTAATGTTCACTACAGACACTGCAGAATGAACTGCTGTTGTCCTTTTGATCTAACAAGGGGGAAAATCCCACAAAACAACTAGTTTACTTTTTAAGCTGCTTGGCAACAGCACACAAGAGTACTTGCCCTCTGAGTTTTGCTTATTGCAGATGTTTTCTCTGGAGTCTTGTTACTTCTTTAGTGCTTTTTCTTTTCATCAACCCTATCCCTATATACACGTACACAAACTCACAAACTCTGCTTTCCTCTGAATTTTTGGCAACCCTGCACACTAACGCTAATCATGGCAAATCACACATTTACTGCCTCTGCTCTCCTTGGCTACAGCTACTATACTCAGAAAAGTTATCTTCTATATGTCCCTCATGTGCTGCCTTTGACTTGATTCACGCTTTATTTGCCATAACTGTTTGTTTATTGAGTCACTTATTTATCTTCTTACTATATATTTGGGTGTGTGTGTGTGTGTGTGTGTGTGTGTGTGTGTGTGTGTGTGTGTGTGTTTGTGTTTGAGAAGTCCTCCTAAATAGTAAGAGCTAGGACCACCAAATTTGGTAGGCAGCTTCCTCTCATCATAACTTAAAGCAAGGTCAGGGTTCAGTTGTGCCAGAATAATGGGATGTGCGTGGAATTCAATTATTTCTCATAAATGGAAAGAAAGGAGGTCTATAGTAGGAGGGAGTTATATAGCAGAATGACCACAGGGTAGCAGCAAGGAGTTAACAATGGGGACCAGGTAGCAGAGGAGGATAACTACCTACTATACTGTTTGCCTATCTGTTTATACTTCAACTGGAGACATACACCCCTCCCCAGTCTTTTTCCACTACTGCTATCGTAGCTATGGGCAGGTGCTTCTCACCTGGCCCCAAGCTGCTGTGGGGAGAGGGCTGCGGGTGTCCTCTCTCCCCGAGGCAGCCTGCATGCTGGACCGTTTATCTCAGGCCTCACCCCAGAACAATGATTTAAATATAAAACTTATTTGAATTAAGGAGCTGAACAACGCTGGGTAAATCTAGTGGTAACTAAATTCTCTTTAAGCACTTTGACTGTTGACTCCCTTTTTCCAGTATTCTTGTGATCTTGGCCATCTGACCTAACTTCTGCCCCTCAGTTTTCCCAGTAGAGCAGGAACAATACAACTTCATATAAGTATAGTAGTCTTAATCATTAAGTACTTCTGATCTCTGGATGAAGTCTGCATGCAAGAAGTGCAAATCACCACCAACTTCTAAATACTATTTGTGTTTTTCTTAAGGAAAATGCAAAATGTTTAAAGGCTATAGAAAAACACTTTCTATAGAAAGCAGAGTCCCACCCTATCTTTTTTGTGGTGATCTGGAAGCCTATTTTCGCCACCTCCATCTAAAGCACAGGTCATCAATCAGTTGATCATGATCTACCAGTCGATCACAGAGGCACTACCAGCTGATCACGACACAGTGTTCCCAGCCGTCTTGCTCCCCCTCACCTGCAATAAGGAGCCCGTGCTGGCGCGACAGCCTCCTGCCCTTTGCAAAATTGGAGCCTAAGCCAGCTTCCTGAAAGCAGAGGAGGGAAGAGTCCCCCAGCTCCATGCCAGATCTGGCTTCTCAGGAAGCATCCACATGCTGCTCCTCCCCTTCCCACAGCAGCACACGCACTTTCTTGTCTTGCCTTCCTTCCCTTGTGCACCAGGGAGGCAGGGTCGGGTGAGGGGAAGGATTTAAGATGGCAGCAGAGGAGCCAGAGTGGCTGGATTTCTTAAAGGAGCCACATGAGCATTTCTTCCAGCACTGCCTGCAGATCCTTGCCGAGAGATACTCATCCCTGGAGACCCCCGGGTCTGCCCCTTCCCCTCTGGACAGACCCTGCTCCTGCCTCCTCTCCCCTGGCCAGACACCCACCAGCACTCTACTCCTGCCTACTCTCCCCATGCCAGACATCCACCATCACCCTGTCCCTGCCTTCTCGCCTCTTGCCGGATACTCACCAGCACCCTGTTCCTGCCCCAGCCCCCTGGCCAGATACCTACCTACAGCTTGCTCCTGTATCCTACTTCCCACCCAGATTCTGCACCCCCATCCCTATCCTATTCCCTGGCAGTTCTGTCCTGCACACTGGATCCCTCAGTTTTGGCCCCACCCCAGAGCCTAGGGGGGCCCACAAAATCCACTAGCCCTGGAACCCCAGAAGAGTTAATCTGGCCTGAGGTCATAAACCTCAGTCCTACCTATCTTCCTGCTCCAAACCCACCATGGGGCTGGAGTGCCATGGGAGTGAGGTGTCTCAGTTGGGGCCACATCAGTGAGGGTTGGGGTTTTTTGGAGGAGTTGGTTTTTTACATCTCACTTATGTGGTCCCTGACTGATTTTTCTGTGGCTCAGTGGCCCCGGACCCAAAAAATGTTCCTTGACCCTCGCATAAATAAAGACAATGTTGAAACGTTTTGTGTTGGACATGTTATTTTATTTAAAAATTAAGCCCGGCGGCCAACAAGAGCCCAATTGGGGCCAAGTCCCCAGCTGGCCACAGCATCATAACACCCATGCATCCTCCCCCCACATACCCCAACCGTGATCCCATCATACACCTGAACCCCCTGCCGGGCCCCCCACATTCTCAAACTCCTGCACTCCCCACATCCACAACACTTCTGTACTACTCACAGGTTGCAAATCTGTGCCCTGAGCCCATCATACACCCACCCCCCTGCCCTGAGCCCCTCATACACTCCAACCCAAACTCCTGCACCCTGATATCCACAAGTCTGCAGTTTGCTCAGCAACCCAACCCTCTACCTGACCCCAACACTCTCCAGCCTGGAGTCCCCGCTCTTTCTCCACCTCCTCCTGAATCCAAATTCCCTCCCAGAGTTTGCACCTCTTGCCCCTTCAGACACTCACAATTCCTCATTCCCACCCCAGAGCCCGCACCTCCTGTCTTAACCCAGTGAGAGTGAGTAAGGGTTGAGGAGAGCAAATGATGGAGAGGAGGGGAATGGAGAGAGTAGGGCCTCAAGGAAGAGGTGGGGTCTTGGGTAAGGGTAGATCTTGGCTGGCCCTGACTTTTAAAAAGTTATTTTGGGTGTAAAAAGGTTGGAGACCACTGATCTAAAGAAATATTTCCAACACATCACTGGACAATGCAGTGACCTTCAGGATCCCCCCTGCCAATCTCACAAGAGGAAGGCCTCTTTGTGGACCCCTCCTGATGGTTGTAATGACAGTTTGGACTTCTACAACGATTGCTTCCATAAATGTACACAGGCTGACATTGTTAAACATGTGACATACGACCTCAGCCATGCAGAACTCAATGCTATACATAGCCTCAAAAACAATTCTATCATCATTCAAGAGGCTGACAAAAGGGGTGTTGTAGTCATCATGAACAGAACAGATCATGAACAGGAGGCTGACAAACAACTCACCAACACTAGATTCTACAGGCTTCTTTCCTCTGATCCGACTAAAGAATACCAAAAGAAACTACACCATCTGCTCATGAAACACCCTGCCCCAACATGGGACCAAACATCCCCTACAAATCCTATACAAACATCCCCCACATCTCTGACTAGGGGTCTTCTATCTACTACCCAACATCCATCCACAAACCTGGAAATTGTGGACACCCCATTGTCTCAGGCATTAGCACACTTAAGAAGGATTATCCAGTTATGTTGACTCTCTCCTCAGACCCTATGTTACCAACACTCCTACTTATCTTCAAGACACCACCGACTTCCTGATATAAGTAATCTCCCTGAAAACACCATCCTGGCCACCATGGATGTAGAAGTTCTTTACACCAACATTCCCCACAATGATGGATTACTGGCTATCAGGAACATTATCCCTGATGACACCTCCACACACCTGGTGACCGAGCTTTGTGACTTTGTCCTCACCCACAACTATTTCCAATTTGGGGACAATTTATATCTTCAAAGCACAGCTGTGGACACCCGCATGGCCACACAATACACCAACATCTTTATGGCTGACCTCAAACAACATTTCCTCACTCTTGTCCCCAGCACCTTTACTCTATTTATGCTACATTGATGATACCTTTATCATATGGACCTACGGGATAGAGACCCTTGAAGAATTCCACAAGGATTTTAGGCCCAACCACCAAAACAACAGAACACCGCTGGTCATCACCTACAGGCCCCAACTTAAAAGTGCATCATTGACAATCTGCAACCTATCCTGGAAAATGATCCCTCATTCTCAGAGGCCTTGGGGGACAGGCCAATC